CTTAGCCACCTGAGTTTTGTTTTTTCTTATTTTAATACGATTGTGATCCACAGTTATCTTGCTGATGACGGTGGTTGCTCACTGCAGCGTTTAGACCAAGTTGCATCGCTGGCCGCTCGCTTCGCTGCTCAATGGTTTAACCCTTGTCTATCTCTTTCTAGCCCTTGACCAGAGAAACAAAAAAAAAAAAAAAAAAAACACCAGCGGCGCGATAATTAAAATGTTTAATGGGCATCTTAAAAATCATTTTACGCCGAATTTATGCGAGAGCGCATTGAAACAGCCGACACTTAAGATACCAAAACAGAAACAGCCGCCACAGGAACTAAAAGAAACTAAAAACTTAACCGAATGTCGAATACTGCTGTTAACAATGGGGCGCTAATCTAATCAGCAAAACTATAAAAATTATACATGCAATTTCAGTGAGCATGATGCGGTTCTTGGAAGCCGGAAGAGTCATATTAAAGAACGTTTAAGCATTTAAATTCAAATTCAAATGTAAATGTAAATGTAAATGAAACTATTTGGAATCATGTCTTTTGAGAAATTATCGCACTTTAACGGTTAATCGTGTGAGTGGAGGTTATGTTGCTCATTGAGGTTATGTTGCCAGTGCAAAGTGGGTTTCCAATGCGGTTTAACACTAATCCCTTATGCTCTACATGAACACATCCGACAAAAAGACAGCAATACAAACTAATTTTCCAGCACATTTAACATGTAAAAAAGGAAAACACACAAATCTCAAACAAAAACCAAAACTTGTCGCGCTGCATTTTTTTTTTAGGGTCACAGTCAAAACAAAACCAAAACACAACACTCAAAAAAAAAAAAAAGAACTCTTCTTAATGCAAATAATTATTGTATATGTTTAGGCAGGCATTCAGCACATGGGCAGAGCCTAGAATCGAATTAACGCCATGGGACGTCCGACGGGGTTTTGGCCGTGTTTCGCTCTCACGAAATCCGGACCAGACCAAACACATACAAATATTTTATTTTCAACTACGAACGGGGTGGCGTCTGGGAAATCCGTTTTGCAAGCACCGGTCGATGTAGCAGTTGTTGTTCTTGTTGTTTTTGTTGCAGCATGTATAGTTTGTATGTAATCGGAAGAGCCGGCCACAGCGGGTGGCACTCAAAAAAAAAAAAAAAACAAATCGAGCGCCGGGCGCACACAGCTCAAAAATGCAATCCCTCCGTGCGTTACAAATGCTCTCACGTTACAAAACGTGGCCGACGATACTCATACCCCAGCGGTTAGTATGCTGCAACCGGTGCATCAACGACAAGAACAACAATCAGGACCCCCTTCAACAGCAGCCGCCGCCGCTGTCGCTGTCGCTGCCACACGACGGTTTACACTTCAACGTACATACGCACTCTGAACTCTACACCCTGTGTCCTGCCGTATGCGTTTCCGCCTTCAAAAACATACGGACCCTATTCACGTTGTTTCTGATGCCCATCGGGCCACCGGTACTCATCGAGCTATTCATGGAGTGGCCGCCAAGTGGCCCGAGTGGCAATGCCGCGCGCCACTTAGCCACGATTTCGATGTCTGTTATCAGCCACGTCTAAGTTGCAACTTGCAACCACCACCCTAACGCAAGGCTAACTAACCCACCAGCCAGCCAGCCAGCCCACCATCCACACTCGAACTTATCTATTTGCGACATCAGAGGCCGAAAAACTTGACTTTTTACTGTTTTGCGCCGTGTGACAGCAACAAAGGAACAACAAGAAACAAGATAAAATGTTGTTAACTCTTTGAGTTGACGAAGCTTCAAATACACTTGCCATCATTTAGCACACGATCCCATATATGTATATTCAAATATGTATATTATACATCTCTATTTATATGCAATAAATCATTGTTTATTATGCATATGTATCGTTGTCAGATGCTGATTGGTTTTCTGCTTGAATATTGACAGCTTTATGATGCTGTCAATTAATATATTTGACTTGGAATGAACTCGGTTCTCGACGAATAAAAACTTATCATAAGAGCTTTACGATATAATAGTTAAATATTATGAGCAAAGTAACACTTGTCAGTTTGACCACAAAATCATTAAAAGCCAGAAGTGGTTTATACAAGAAATCAAAATTGGACATCTAACGATGTTGACAAGCAAGAATACATCAATTTGGACTTTCATGAAGAAACATTAGTTTGTTAGACAATAGCTCTATTATCGACCGGTGCTAATTTTAACAAGCTGCATCAAAAAGATGCACGGTTGCAAATTTGCATTAAAACTTCTTTTGAACTGAAAGCACTCTCGCAAATCAGATACATAAACAGATGAAAAGACATGGATATATCTTATATACCATGTTTTACTGATCAAAAATATATACAAATGATTATTACCTGTTTTAATGTGTTACACATTTCTTGAATTAATCCAAATGCTCAAATTCCGCAAGGGTATTAATGTAAGTATGAACACAGGCATACTCTCTCAGACCATAGTCATGGCTATCAGGCGAAATCTGCATCTGCGGCAGCTGCTGATGCTGATGCTGCTGCTGATGCTGCTGCTGCTGATGCTGCTGATGCTGCTGTTGATGCTGTAGCTGATGCGGATGCTGCTGCTCACATGTGTCGTAGCTTCGCACGCTTCAAGTGGGCAACGCCTCCGAAACAAGTGCAGGACAACAACAATAACAACAACAGCAACAGCAACAGCAGCAGCAACAACAAAAACAAGGTTGAACGATGCGGTTAACCCAGGCAGTCAGCCGGGTTTTTGGGATCGGTTCGGTTTTTGGCTCGGGTCGGGATTGATGTGCGCTATGTGCTGGGAAGTAGACGTCGCACTGCAGCCGGTTCGGCCGAGCTGGGGCAACAGTCACAACCACAGTCACAGCCAGAAGCCAGAACAGCGACAGTAACAACAACAACACGTCACAGAAATGACATTGAGGCTGCGGTTTAAGCCGGGAGCAACCCAGTGTGTCCAGGCCGAGTGTGTGTATTTAGGTATACATATATATGTGTGTGTGTGTGTGTATTTGTGTGTGAGAGTATCAGATTTCGAGCGCTCGAAAACATAATCATATATTAGGCGTTGTCACTTTGACATTTCGCCTGCTCTTTTACATGGCAATAATCATAATTCATTTTTCTCTCGCTCTCTCTCTCGCCTCCGTTCCGTGTGGTAAGCAAGGCGCAAAAGGGGGCGTGGCAGTTTGGTGGTAGACGTCAGGGATGTAAGGGAGGGGGAAGATGTGGGGCCCTCTCTTACTTAAAATAAAGTGCCCACGAAATGAAGGCATCGCCTGGGCCTGTTGTTGTCTTGAAACAGTTTTATGAGTTGGTAGCCAGGCACAGCGTCGCCGTCGCCGTCGTCGTCGCCGTCGCATGATGTTGACGCTGCCTGCATTCATGTTTAATATTATTTATGGGGCTTACGTCTTGGCGGCACAAGGTACTATCTACCATACAGTGAAAGATCGAGTGAGAGTCTCCGACGGCAGACAAGGCGAATGTGAATGTGACAAAAATCTCGGCGTCACATCCCAAATAATTTTCAACGAAATGCGCGAATGGGAAATGAAAATGGAGCTGAGGGCTTGAGTGCGCTATATAGTAAATATGATAAATTTATATGGAATTGTTTTAGTTTGTGTATTTAGTCTGTTTGCCGGCATTTTATTTTTGCCCAGCATTTCGACAGCGCGGCAACCAACGACGACAAAATGTGAGAATGAGTCTGTTGAGCGAAGTTGAAGTGAAATGCGCCAATTATTTTGATTAATGTCAAAGAAATCGCGTGTCTCGTGCATTTGATGTTTCCCCCTCCAATTTGATGTCCACCTCACCCCCTCGCTCTGTCGCACTTCCATGTCTGGAAAATGCCTGTGCACCCGTACAGGGTCATCATTATTTGGCACGAAACCGAATTAACGAACGAATGAACGAACGAATGAGTGAACGAACGATCGAATGAACGAATCCACCCAATGATTATGATTGATGCTGGTAATCTTTGATCTGTCATTTCGCAAAAGTGAAAACAGTAGCCAACGGTCCAAAGCGATGCTCTGACGGATGACTCTGGAGACCGACGATGAGTGGGCGTTTTGTTAACCGCTTCAGTGTGCCTTTGGGTCCAGAGTCTAGACTCTTAGAGATCTCGTTTGCCGAGGGCGATGATTGCACAGACAGTAGCTCAGAGCTGTTTCCTGCCCCGCAAAACATGTTATTAGTTCAGAGGCCATAATTTTGTCTGGTCAGCTTAAGATTATTGCCTGCACACCCATACAAATATTATATGTGCATCTGTATATATTGAGGCTTTCGATTTTTATTATCATCATGCCATATAATTGTGAGCAGTTCAAACCAAAGTTAAGAATTCTTGGGGCTGCTGTGTGCAATCATTTGACTTTGCTATTTACATACGTTTTCTAAAAAGAACCAAGATCATTGCACTCGAAATCATCAGATTGTAGAGTCCTCTGTTTTTGGTATTATATTGGCTACAAATTTGGAGAATCCAGTGTCCAGAATCTCACCTAAAATATGATTAACTTTATCTTAATCCAACAAATCAATTAGCTTTGTGGCTGTAGTACAAGGAAAGCAAGCGGTTCTTCTCTTGTATAAAAAGTATTTATTATACGTTTAACAGACATATTATATATATATTGTAAAACAGATCCATTTGAATTTACCTTTTCTTAAATTTTCAAATTTTAAAACAACAATTACTCCATATCATCATCGGCAAGCTCTTCTTTTTTACTTACGCAACTTAAAAATATATATTTCTCATTTTATCTAAATATATACTCATCATATGTTTTTTGTATGGGTTGCATTGAGTGAGGTACTACTGTATTTTTATATTATTTTCTCGATTATGCCTTGATGGACAAGATGCTGTTCAATTAATAAATTTAAAATTTATTGGATGACGAGAGAAAAACAATTTTAGATACAAATATGTTTAACATGCTCTTTAAAATTTGACTTGCAGTTTTTTTGGTACTCGCCGCTGTTCCCGCTGCCTGGCCTCTATTAGCTCCAACGAGCTGGTGATGCGCGCCCGCAACCTGGTCTTTCACGTCAACTGCTTCTGCTGCACGGTCTGCCACACGCCGCTCACCAAGGGTGATCAGTATGGCATCATCGATGCGCTCATCTATTGCAGGTGTGTTTTGTCAGACTAATGACTTCTTGGTCTATGCATATAACTGATGGAATGATTTTTCTTTGATCGTTCACAGAACTCACTATAGCATAGCGAGGGAGGGAGATGCCGCCTCGTCGAGCATGAGCGCCACATATCCGTATAGCACACAGTTTGGATCGCCGCACAATGACTCGTCGAGTCCTCAGTCGGATCCCAGTCGTAGTATTGTTCCTACGGGCATCTTTGTGCCCACATCGCATGTCATCACCGGACTGCCGCAGCCGGCGCGTCAAAAGGGCAGACCGCGCAAGCGCAAACCCAAGGATATTGAGGCGTTCACCGCGAATATAGGTGGGTTGTAAATACCAATGTGGCCATAAAAACCAAGCAGCAACAGCAGCATCAGCGGCAGCATGTGGTTTGTGCCTTTATAGCCTGGTGGCTGAGTCTCCTCCGGACTGGCGCCAGTGCAGCGGACTTATTCCTTCGGTTTTTTGTTTTGTTTTGTTTTTTATGTGCCACGCATAAAAGCTGCTTGTTGGTGTCATAAAACTTGTGCAGAGCTCTAAAAGTCAAGAATAACAAGTAAAGTTTTTGGATTGCTTGCAGATCTCAACACGGAATATGTGGACTTTGGGCGCGGCTCGCACATGAGCGCCTCGTCGCGGACCAAGCGAATGCGCACCTCGTTCAAGCATCATCAGCTGCGCACCATGAAGTCCTATTTTGCAATCAATCACAATCCCGATGCCAAGGATCTGAAGCAATTGTCACAGAAAACGGGTTTACCAAAGAGAGTCCTGCAGGTGAGGAGGAGGCCAACTGGCAACTGGCAACTGCCAACTGACAAGTCAATCAGAATTTAATGTGTGTTCTTCCCTCCGGCCAGGTTTGGTTTCAGAATGCTCGAGCCAAGTGGCGTCGCATGATGATGAAGCAGGATGGCAGCGGCATGATGGAGAAGGGCGATGGCACTTTGGATCTGGACAGCATTTCGGTGCACAGTCCGTCATCGTTTATGCTGGGCGGTGCAAACAGCACGCCGCCCCACAATCTCGACTAACAGCTGCTCAGGGAGCACCAGAATGCCACCACAAATAAATCCAGCAATGCAGACACAGACTCGGGTAGCGCCGCCGCCGACGCTGCTGCTACTGCTGCAGCAGCCTACGCAATTGAGTTGCAACTGCTGCAGTCAAGTGGCAATGGACGCTGCTCGCCGGCGCTGCTTTCGTTGGCGGACCTGTTGAATGGCAGTGACGATTAGCTTGTACTTGAATCAAATACTCAAAACTCCATACAACACATGCACACACACACACACACACACACATACACACACGCACACACACACATACACACACACATACACACACACACACACACACACATACACATGCGCACACATCGCGACGCCTAGAGAATGTTGTTAGCCGAGAGCTGCCCCAGTGTGGTAGCTGTTGCATTAAGTATTTTTGTAGTTGCTTCTAGCCCATTGCCAGCACATCAGATTTCAGATTTCAAACTCACCTTGACTGGGATGGCGGAGTTGCAGAACTCATGCAAGGTTTTCTTCTTCTTCGTATTGCATCTGTAGTTTATCTTTTTTGTGACAGAGATCAGATCTTACGCACCACCAACCCAAAATGTTGTTTCTATTTCAATCGTTCATTTGTAAATATGTACTAGAACCTTAGTAATTGCGCTTACCAGAATATTGTTAATACTTACATATATATATATATATACAGATATATTATATGTATATGAATATGCGTATATACATATGTATATGTACTATATCTAGCATACACTTTAAATAAACAAATCTAATATATAAATTTAATATTTATTGCCCAAATTACATAGTTAGAGATGAATTTAGTTTAACGAAGCGCTCTATATGATATACATATATATGTCGTAGTATTACGGTAATTTACTTGCTTCGCAAAAAAAAAAGGGAAAACAAAAAATAAATAATTAACGAGATGCTAAATAAGATGATCCAAGTTATGATGAGCAATGGAAATGCAATTGAAGCAAAGTGAATAACAGAAATTTGTACTTACAAATAGTTTAACCATAAGTCGTACCATAGAAGCCAAATAAAAATTATTAAAAAAAAATAAATTAATCAGTTGACTTCAATTCTTATTGTGTAACCGGGGGGAATAATGTATTGTGATCAAAAGTTGATTAAACCAATATAAGAAAGATGTTTGATGTTAAAGTAACATTAATAAAATATAACGTTAACTGCTATTTTATTATATTTATGGATGGAATTTGGATTTTCAATCAGCAAAAGCCTTATCGTTATATGTGTATATATTTATTTTATAATCAAAAATCAACATAATTTACTCCTTTCGGCATTGGTTTATATCGTATTATATTGTTGTTTTACTGCTCCCTAACAAAAACGAAGTTTATATTATATAATTCTGTATGAATGAATATATAAATTTAAATTTCGATTGGATTAGATCTAAATCAAATTTATTTCATCGCTTGGACCGGATATACTGGTACAAATGATTTTTGAGAGCAATTAAAAACCTGTTATCATGGAAAACAATATTAAAAGCAGAGCATTAATATCTGCTTTGCAACCGCTGCAAATAAAATACTTTAAATTATAAATTGTTCATTAAAGTGAAAAATAATTTATTACAAAACATTATAAATTAATGAACAGTGAGATTTCCGTGTATGTGTGTGTGTGTGTGTCTGTGTATTAATTTACTTGCAGCGTAACTTACAAATTAATAAATCTCAATACATGCCAGCTATAAGCTGTTAAGAAAAATATATATGATTTAGATTCATTTACGTTGCATTCAAAAAATCTGAATATGTAATACAAAAGGTTTCTTTATTTTTATATTTATTTTAGTTATATTTTATAGTTACTTTTTTTTTTAAATTTTTATTGGTGTTTTTTGTTTGTCGCACTTAAGTAGCTAATACAATTACACAAAAATAAATGTCTTTTATAAATGTCGCATTTTGTAAAAGCAAAACGCATGTAAAAAATTACAAACAAATTGTTCTCTTTTTCTTTTTTTGGGTGCACAGCAAAATGATTTAACGAGCAAAAAACACGTAGATAAGGCAAACTTTATAAACAATTTACGACGAGCCGCGTTAACGATAATAACTCTATATGTATGCATGTAGATTTGTTTGTTTTTTCTTTTCTATATTTCATTTGTTTGATTTGAATTTTGTTTATTTGTATCGATGAGCAAGATCCGATTCTTTTTCTGCTTGCAGTTGTTGTTTGTGACAACTTGTGACACGTTTTCAATTTGATTATTATGCAATATATTAAAAGCTCCACACCGTGTGAATATATAAATATTTTTTAGTTGGGGACTAGTTAAGGATTAATTCAACTAGGAATTTCTAAGTATTTTTTATTCTTTTTTTCTTGTTGTCGTGGTTCGTTTTCTTTTATGTTAGCGTGTGAATGAGTGTATTAAGTGTGTGTTGAGTATATATATGTATGTGTGACTGTGTGAGTGAGTGAGTTAATTTAACATATATAACTAGAGAGCATGATTTGTTGTATTGCTTGTTGCAGCCAAATGCCGACAGCACGATTCAGCTGCTGTTCTTAACGGCATTATTAACACTATCACCGATTGTTGCTTGCGGCTCGACAGCGAAATCCCCCCCATCCACATTTATATCACCATCACAGGCTGTTTGTTTGGCAACGGTGGCTAATGCCTCACGGCGTTTGCGTTTCATTTCCAGCAACTGTTGTCGCTGCGCCTCGCGTTTCATTGCTGCCACCGAATTGGATGCGGCTATTTTGGAGCTCTTTGCACTGGTCGCGCTGCTGCCAGCTGTTTTCGTTTTCAGATTACCAGCTTTTTGTGTTTTTATTGTTGGTGTCTCAGCCTTGGTTTGTGGCTCGATAATGCGCTGAAATAAGTAATGTGGGCTTTAACAGATGCTGATGATACCGCTATGCATGCAGCTGACTCACGTGCCAACCGTTGCTCTTCAATTGCTCGATATCTGCAAATATGGAATCGACATGCGTCACCTGCAAATAAACCATATCCCAAAAGCCCTGCAAATCATCGACTGTGGTGGGGAACGCATCTTCCGGCGACCGATTCAAATTGTTGTGACAAAGACCTGCATTAGGAACATAGAATCAACATGGTAAGCAGCTGTGTATGTTTCAATTTACCCTCAAACTGTTTAATTTTCTGCGAGGCAAGCAGACGCGCCTTGCCCGAGGCTGAGCGCAATAGACCGAAAGTGTCCTCCGTGATATCGGGATTGCTCTGCAAGTTATTCATAATTTAGATGAGGCGGCCAATTAAATGTTTATCGTATATGCTACTCACACTCAAGGCATCAATATACTTATCCGCTACGGCGGCCAGCGCGAACAGACGAACCTGTTCGTCTTTCAATATTTTCAGAAAATAATTGCCATCCTTCGTCACGATTGCAGCAGCACTGACTGTTGTCTCGGGAGTGGTAGCTTTAGCTGCCACTTCCTCCATAGCTGAAATCTTGGTGGTGCCCATGTACTCTTCCGTGCACAGTGGTTCATGATCCACAACATCCAGGCTGCCATTGGTGGGCGGCAACACTACCTCGGGTGCCGGCGAAAGGCGCGGCACATTTCGCTTGGGGGACACCGTTGGCAGCTGTGCGCGAAACTCATGACTCAGATGCCGGAACACTGGCAAATCCACATCCCCATTGTGGACAGTTGTGGGCTGCTCCTCTTGGGAGCGGGCCGTGCAATTATTTTGCAGTTTCTTCCGAAATTCCCCATAATCCTTGCTGGGCGATAGCTGCTTGAATTTGCGCGACAACTCCGAGCCCTGTGGTGACGTTTGGAGCTGATCCTGCTGCTTCTGCCGGATAGCAACAGGCGACTGGCTGGAACTGGAGTTATGCTTTTTTGGACTATAGAAGCCTTGGGCTAGAGCACCGGGTCCATAGAGACGCTCAACGCGCTGCTGTATGAAGCTGCTCGTTGTTGCACCATAAGATTTACCGGCACCGTTACCATTGAAATAGGTATGATCACCATTCTCCAGACCATTCTTGCTGGAGTTGTTGTTGTTGTTATTGTTGTTTGTCTCGTTGATAATCGTTGTGTATTTGTTGGACATGGCCGTTGCCGGCTGCGTGGTGAGCGGCATTGTGTGCAACACTGGTGCCGCCAGCGAATTATTCCGCTTGCAATATTGCAGACTGCTGGTCGAGGGGCGTATGGGTGAAACCTCACGGGATTTGTTAATGTCCTGGCGTATCTTTGAGTCGTAGGTGGTCAGATTCGAATAGCCGTTGACGCAGCAGGCCAAATTTAAATAGCTTGGCTTCTTCTCCACAACATCCACGACGACAAGGCTGTTACCGCCGTCACTCTGGCTGCTGATGTTCTTCGTATGCTCGGCCTGGGAGTCATCGACTACGTCGCTCGCCGGCGGTGACAGCACCATGCGCACCACGCCGCCCGTCTGCGGATCCAGATTGATGTGGGCGGTGGTTGTGGTTATCGTACGCTGCGGCTGCGGCTGCAGCGGTGAGCGCAGAGTGCAGCGTTCCCGTATATTTGCCGTAAACTCGCGCGTTATGTCCTTCACGGATATTGGCGTTGGAAAGTTCAAGCTGCCGCTGGTGTCTGCAACATTTGTTGAAGCAAATCAAATTTTAGTAAAAGCGGCAACAAATGCAAAACGCCAAGGCAACACATGAAAACAAAAACAAAAAAAAAGTCAAGAAAAGAAACGACAAACAAATCGAATCAAATAACCAAAGAAACATTCATCTTCGATATGCCGAAGTTTAAATACTCTTGCAGACACATAAACTAAAGATAATCTCTAATCTCGGTCGATTTTCTCTACAAAAACTACATTTGTATTTAGTAGTCCGATGTTGAATAAAAAAAATAAATAAACAGACAATATATGTACAGGATATAGTATAAGAAATGTGTCCTTTAAAGCGTTACACATCTATTTAGAAAATTAAAATAGCCACTGCAATGGTATAAAAAAAAGATATTTTACAGCATTGAGGTTAGGTGCGCCACAACAGTGTGTGTGTGCATATAGTGCGTGCGTGCGAGCGTGTGAGTGTTTGGTATACCTGATATATCGGATGAATCAGCATCAACATCGAGTGAACAGCTGCCAATGGAATCCAAGCTGCGATCCATGGGAAGAACTTGCGGTGGCTAGAGACGATTTATTGAAAGTCGTTTTGTGTTTGTTGTGCACTTTTCTACTGATTTTGAAACGTCTATGTAAATGAATCAAAACGAACTAAAAATTCGACATTTAAATAAGCAAACCAAAGCAAAAACAATATACAATTAATCCAATGAATAAATTATTTACTTCCGCAAAGTCAGACTGAAAGCTCTCTACTAATGCGATCTGCTAATGAACGCCCACTTCTGCACTTGGAATGCCGTCCAAAAGAGAAATGCAATAATTTGTAATCGTGAAAAATAAGAAACAACGAAAAGAAATACAAATGAAAACAACTGAGCACAAATACCAAATGGGCGATGGCCTTATAATAATTTTGCCATTTATGCAAAGCGGAAACTCTGCACACAACAGATGCGAGCGGGCAGCGGGGAGGGAGGAGCGAAAGCTTAATGCAGATCGGTTCGTTTGCCCGTTTTGGACAGCGTCAAGGCGACAAATGAATAACTGTGCATGAAAGCGGGCGGGTGGGGGGTCAGGCAAGCAAAGCAATGTCTACTAAAGCAGACAGCAAATAAACAACAGCAGCAGCAAGAAGAAGCAGAGAGCATCAGTGGAGGCAGAAAGCTTTTGAGCTGCGCGCTATTGGAGATTGGTAATTTTTTATTGTTTCTCCTCTTTGGTCTTGTCTGCTTCTTATTTGCGCCATATTAGATGTTGTTGTTGGTGCTTAAGAGCTGGGAGCAGCTCTAACGGCACCGACGTCTGACGTCGACGTCTACATTTCCAGTTCCGCTTTGCTAACTTTTGCCGTTGTTCAACAGTGTTTTTGTTGCTGTTTTTGTCATCTTGAACCCAGTTTGTTCTTTTCCACTTCTAATTCCCATAACATGAGACTACATACTTGGAACTAATTACACAAACAAATAATTGCCAGCATTAGCGCCGCAGCGGCAGTCAAACTCCGCCAACAACAACAACATAACGCCAACTATTTATAATCCGAGAACACAGAGAGAGAAACAGAGAGACAGACACCAAAAGGGGAGCAAAAGCGAACAAAAAATAAAGTGAAAAAAAAATGGAAAAAACGGAGCGACACGTTGAATATAAACGGCAAGAAGTCACACAGTAGTCCCAGAAAACATGACTATGCCGCTCGGCGGACGCAGAGACAGGCAAACGTCAGCGTTCGTTGATATTTGGAGTCAACAGCCACAACTACAACGACAACTACAACTACAAGTAACCACAGCGGCACGCAATATGTTCTATTTTGGTCGCTGAAACTTACTATAATGAGCTTACAGAACGCATAAATTGAGGCCGCTTAAATGTCTGACACAAAAAGGCAGGTCCTTCGACTTTGGATGTACAAAATATGCAAATTTATCAAAAATAATTTACACACACATACATAGAGGGATTCACAAATGCAAACATACACACACACACACGCATACACAAAGATGACAGCACTGCAGCTCACGTACATACATACAGACAAAAAAGAACGGTACACGCACACATGTGGATATTAATTAATAAACAAGGCAAGAGCCACACACCTCCAGCGTTCCTTCGGCTTGCAGTTGATGTTGTATATTTTGTTGTAGCAAATATCAGCTCTGTGACATAATTTTAATTGCAATTAACTCACGAATGTATCACGAATGCTGCAGCGTTTGCGTTTTTATCTTTACTGCGGCAAATGACGGCCGATATATTGTGGCGGTCGGGCGACGTGCCAACGATTAGATATGGCACTTTCTCAAGTATCGATGACGTGCGAAACGATACATCGTATTCGCATTACATTTATAAATATATTGTTTTTGTTTATAAAACTTTAGAATATCAATTAAATTATATGGAAATATAGATATATATATGCATTTCTTATTATTTCCTATAGAATATGGAAGCACAAATGAAAAACACTTGTATTGAAAAGCATGCCGGCATACACTTGTTAACTCTTCAAACTTGTTGACTCTCAGCAGGCGAGTTTCTCTACAATACAGCACTCTACATTCTCCAAAACAAATTCACACACACACAAGACTGATGTTTATTTGCAAGTTTTCTTTCGCTCGCGTTCTGCGTTCTCCACTCATTCCTACTTTAGAAGCCGAAACGGGAAGACGTTTGAAATTCCGGTGCTTTTCAGTTAAGTCTGCAAGAATCGTACATAAAAAATTTAATAAGATGGCCGAGCTTCCCAGTGAAATGCAACAGCTATTCGAGTAAGTAGAAAGCTTGTGTGGCGATGCCAATGTTGCATATAAGGTTGCACACATGTACCATATATGTACATACATATATCCTGCTTATCTGCTTGTTGTTTATGGTTATTATTAAACTCGTACATATTTATGCTTGATAATAAGGGCGGCAACAGCTGACGCCGATAACACTTTGTCGGGCAAACAAGTGAAAAAATAAAGGTGAACGTACATAATTTTGATTAAAAAACAATGTGCATCAACTAATTTCTTCATTAATTGCACGATAACCATAAAAAAAATATGAAAGCACGTATTCGTTTACTGTCTGGATAATTTACATTTATCAAAGTGGCGACGATGCCTTTTAAAAAAGTGCAGAAGAGAATCTGCCTGTTTGAAGAAGCTTTAAATTTATCCGCTTAGTGACGCCTTTTGAAAATGCATACGAGAATCTGCCGGTTTGCAGAAGCTTTCTTTGTCCAATCAGACAAACAACAGCAAAAGATAAACGAAGAAAATGGAGAAATATTCGACGTGCCGAATCTTAAATACTCTCCTGTTTATTAGTTTCTTATTACTAAGTCTAAACGTATAATGCCAAGAATGAAAGCCAATTGGATTGAGTTTACTTTTGCTGAGATTATAATACAGAAATAATTATAATTTGATTGAACAATTTTTACATTTCATATCGTAAATTCAATGACATATGCATTTTTTCTGCGTTTTCGAAAAGTGTTTGAATACAGAAAGTTGATAAAAATAAGAATTTCAGTTTTAAGTTTATGCACAAGGAAAGCTCTGAAGATGAATACCTAAGTTTATTTAGAATTTAAAACTATGATACCAGATTAGAGATATAGATTGTAGTACATGCAAACATATATATATATATAGAATGCCCTCTTTAATGCATAGCGCATTGTCTGATAAGATTGAGGTATATACTATCTACCCAAATATAACGATAATCAACATATTGTGTGGTTTAACCGCAGACTTAACTATTCAATATTATCAGTGTATTTCACACGACATTATAGGATTTTGATATCAATATATATTGCCTAATCAAATGTAATGCTCTTAGGTTTGTGAATGGCAAGAAAGCCGATTACATTGAGACCCTAAGAACCGCAGTCGCCATACAATCTGTCTCTGCCTGGCCGGACAAGCGGGGAGAGATTGACCGCATGGTCAACTGGACGGCGGACAAGCTGAGGGCACTCGGCACCAAGATCGAGCTGGTTGATTTGGGCAAACAGACGCTGCCCACGGGCGATGAGTTGGCATTGCCGAAGGCGCTGCTGGGCACACTTGGCACCGATAAGTCCAAGAAGACGGTGCTGGTCTACGGTCACTTGGATGTGCAGCCTGCCCTCAAGGAGGATGGCTGGGACACCAATCCCTTTGAGCTCACCGAAATCGATGGCAAACTGTTTGGACGTGGTGCCAGCGATGACAAAGGACCCGTTCTGTGCTGGATCCATGCCATCGAAGCATACCAAAAGCTGAACATTCCGCTGCCCCTGAATGTGAAGTTCGTCTTTGAGGGAATGGAGGAGAGCGGCAGCGAAGGCCTCGACGAGATGTTGATGGCTCGTAAAGACGATTTCCTCGCCGATGTTGATTACGTGTGCATCTCGGACAACTACTGGTTGGGCAAGAAGCGACCCTGCCTCACGTACGGCCTGCGCGGCTTGGCCTACTTCCAGGTGGAGGTCGAGTGCGCCTCCAAGGATCTGCACAGTGGCGTCTTCGGCGGCACCGTGCACGAAGCGATGCCGGATCTGTGCTATCTGCTCGGCAACCTGGTCGACAAGGATACCAATATTCTCATACCAGGCGTGAATCGCGATGTAAGTAAAAGATCAATGCACAAACGCATTGACTTTAAATTTCTTATTCATAAGATTGTTTCTTGATTATTCTATATTATTAAAACTATCTGAGTTTAACTGTTGCTAAGGCCATCCGTTTTGTTTGCCCCACAGGTTGCGCCCCAATTGCCAAACGAGGAGGAAATCTACAAGAATATCGACTTTGAAGTGGCTGAGTACAAGTTAGTTGTATAATCTAATCTGTAATCATAAATCTCTGGGTGTTTAACTTAATCTGCTTATCGCGCTCTTTAGGAAAGATGTTGGCGTCCAACACCTGCCGCACAATAGCAACAAGACTCGCTTGCTGCAGGCCAGATGGCGTTATCCCAGTCTCTCCGTACATGGCATTGAGGGTGCCTTCTATGAGCCCGGCGCCAAGACTGTCATACCAAAGAAGGTTACTGGCAAGTTCTCCATTCGGCTGGTGCCCAACCAGGATCCCAAACACATTGAGGAATGCGTTGTCAAGTACATCAATGACAAGTGGGCAGAGCGCGGCTCGCCCAACAAGTTAAAGGTGTGCTGAACTTGATGCGGTTTTTAAGTTTCCAAATGTAAATGTTTATATTGTATTCTGTGACAGGTGGTCATGTTGTCCGCTGGCAAGCCCTGGACTGAGGATCCCAATCATCCGCACTATGAGGCCGCGAAGCGTGCAATCAGACATGTTTTCAATGTGGATCCTGATATGACACGCGAAGGCGGCTCCATTCCAGTGACACTCACGCTGCAGGAGGCAACCGGCAAGAATGTGATTCTGGTTCCGGTGGGCGCCTGCGATGATGGCGCACACTCGCAGAACGAGAAGATCGACATCTACAACTATATTGAAGGCGTAAGCTAAACGATCTTATTAACTCTATTGCCAATTGTAACTCTCTTTGACTGCTTGCAGACCAAATTGTTGGGCGCCTATTTGCACGAGGTGGGCAAGTTGTAAACCGATTTCACAGGGATTCAATCCTAATTCTTACATCACGATGCAACATCACAACGAAATTGTGCGCTTATACGAATATACAAAATTCTAAATAATCATATTATATATTTTAACACCTTTTTATGTATGCTTTATGTCAAACAAAGCAAATAAACATTTTATATTGCATTCACAAGAAGACTCGGCTTTTAATCTGTCCAAGAATCACCGTATTTGTTCTTCTTGCCAGCTAGTTGTTCGTGTGCTGGCGCCAAAGGACGCTGCGGTTGTTGTTGTTGCACGGGCGCCTCATATGGCCTTGAGTATGGGCTTTGCTGATGCTTCAAGTATTCCTCGCGATTCTTCTTGCGCAGATCTTCGTACGACTCGCCTGGCTTGGCTGGCTGCAGTGGCAATTCCGTGTCCTCCATTGTGCTATCAGCTGTTCAAACGAATAAAAAATGAGAATCAAAGCAGAATCTATACGCAAATTCATTTACTTACTGTCCAAGTTGGGCCTGTAGATATCATCCAGACCCGATAGCGTTGGTCGCGAATCCGTGTCCAGATTGAGAGCCGTGTTTCGCGACGGCTTGAATCCATCGTCGGTGTAGACATCCGCAGAGCTGGGCGTGAATGGGGCTAAGGTGAATGCACGTCCCAGATTCTCATCTGGAGTCATGCTGCTCATGATGCCACCGCCCTGCCGACGTTGTCTGAGCAGTTCACCCAGGTGGGAGTTGGGCAATCGCATTATTTTCTCAGCGCATTTCTGTTGGTAACTAAACTTGCCGACAAAATAGCCCATTATCACGCCCAGCACAACCTTGGGCACTGCTCCGTACTTGCCATTGCCCCGCAGGTAACCGTTCTTCACGCCAAAATAGGCCAACAGACCCAGGCCGGTGCCGAAGGGCAGCGAACGCTGCACAAATGATTCCTGATTGCATTCACGTAACGCCTTCAACTCATCCGCACTGAAATTGTAGTCCGCCTAGAAGAGCAGCCGCAGGTTACAGCGATGTTTAGTTAGAGTGTAGCTCTCGGCTTACCAGTGGATGCTGATTAGACGGTGGCGGTTTGCTTTCATCGTTCAGTGTTAAATCCATTATAAATATTGTAATTAATGCAAGAATTCAGGAAATTCCATCAGGCGGCTATCGCCGGCCTCTACAATTGTTGACGGCTTATCGATACATCGATAGCAATCATCAATAACTCATCGCTCGAATATCCGAAGACCATTCAATGACCATTCAAATGCAACGGCATTTGCAAAATGTATATAAATTAGAATCGTAAAAAAAAAAAAAGTTTTTTTAAAAGTATTTAATCAGAAGCAAAATCAATACTGGCCAGTAAAAAGACTTCTTAAAATGCACCAATCAGGGATATTTTTATTGCACACTGTTAGGCGACTATATGTGCACTTTTGTTGCATACTTTCAGGCGGGACATTGAAATACAAATTATGAACTTATATGTGCAAAGAATAGTATATAATAAAAGAATCATTTCCATATCATATTTGGGGATTTGAAAATTTAGTTTTTATTTCTTGTAGCTAACACAGCACAAGCAATTAAAGTTCAAGTTTATTTAGATAGTAAGGGAATTAATTGAATGCATTTGTTGAGCTCAGCAAACATGCTGCTCGTATGCATTTTGATTGAGTTTTGATTCGGTTGCATTGGGATACCCTTTTTGCGAACAATCAGCAATTGGCAAGCGCATAAGACAATAAATGAAAGTCTGGTTTGCCAAAATTGGTAAACTGGTCAAAGTCAATGCAATGTGTAGATCTTGCCGCAGCCGCTGTCACGCAAACGTCAGTTGGCCATTTTCAGTTTCAGTCCCAGTCGCAGTCGTTGAACAATTGACAAAACATGAGCCAGCGCCTTCGCCTTTAGCTTCGCCTTCGCCTGCATCTGTCTTCGCCTGTTTTCGCCTTTTTTCGAAATTTTTGCGCCTGCACATGGATAATTTCTTGTGAAAAATCTCAGCTTCATGTTGCTGTGTTTTGCTGTGACGCATGAATTATATCAAAGCAAAGAGGAACGCGGCTCGCAATAACAGCGCCAAATGCAGCAGCCGACTTGTGATTGAACATTGTGTGTGTGTGTGTGTTTCTGTGTGTGTTCGTGCTTGGCATGCCAAGTGTTTTGGGGCAATCACAAGGAGCCTTTTTGGGTCGGGCCCTCATAGACAGTGAGGCATGGCGCGTCACCATCGACGAAAGCGAGTTGCGGCCAGAGCTAAAAACAATCCATCTGACCTTGACCCAGCTGAACATCAACTAAATGCAGCAACGGTAAAAGCAGGTTCATTGCGCGCTGCCCAGACTAATAGCCCACTAGTCAAACCGGCTAAAACACCGGCCAGCCATCTTCTGGCCTCTTGATCTATGTGTATGTTCATGTGTTCTTGGCCTGGCTACCATGCACAGCTTTTGCGTTTGGCTAATGATGTTTGTACAAGGCCCGTTGATTAGCGACCACCTGCAAATCTCATTTACATTCAATGACGGGTTATTGCGAACGTGTATTAATCAAATGGCTAATACCTAATTACGTTTATGGACCGCCGAAGCCGTTTTGATCCTTAGAAATGAAAAATATGATGAACATTGAAAGGAGAATAAGAATTTTAACATGAATTTTGATTCAATTTTAATTAAGTAATTCAAATAATGAATTAACAGGATAGCTGATGTTTAAATGTCAAAACACCAAAAGCAAATTATATGTATATAAAATGTGACTCCTATGTTCATGTGATGAGAAAAAGTTTAGATTCTGGCGCCAGAGAATTGGTCACGTTTTTTCCTTACCCCACTCTCGATGCTTAGATATTATTTGTGTAACTGAATCCAATCGATTCTTGGAATGGGCTCTGTTGGCAGCGCCCCAAAAAAAGTGAAACTACAGTTATCTACAGTATATTTTTACTTACTAATTTTACATGCTATCATCATGACAATTTGGTAAGACGAGACGTCAAAACGCGACACAGGGTAACTGTAATCGGCCCACAAAAGGGGCCAAACCCAAAATGGGGATCACGTCGCGGCTAGATCATAATTCCATAGTGATTCCCGAGCCCGATTCCGCCCGTGAATGAACAAGCATTAAATGAATCAACACGTAGAAATAATTAATGTTTCTACTTCACTTTTTATTTTAATGTTGCGTTGCATTGTTTGTTTATTTTCAAGAAGCCCTTAGAGAATTACACCCAAATGTCCAGCGGGCAATGAGGCGGATCGGAACGTCGGATCTTTGGAATGGAGCGAGTCGCGACGTTGAGTCTCCAATTTAGCGCTAACCATATTCAAAAATGTATTTTTTTTTTGCTGTTTTATTTTGGCTCGGCCGGGTCTATGGCCGTTTGGAATTGGAAGTGAGATCGATGCAATTGGTTATGAAACATTGGGCTGGGGGATTGACGGTTAATTGTAAGTTTCCGGTTGAGTGGAAACTCATTTGCCTAACTGCAGTAACTTCAGTGTGACTCTGTCAGTCAGTCAGTCAGTCAGTCAGTCAGTCAATGAATCGCAGATGAAAATGAAAACCGGGAGAGTCAATGAAAATGTTGCTATTTAGGTTAACTGCATACGACAGAGATGCGGAAATACAAAAAAAAGGCAATGCAAAACTAAACAAAACAAAAACTGCAAACTGAAGTGCTCATCAGTGAACCAAATATGTGGGTGAAACTCATCTTGAGCATAATGAGATCAGAGTTTTTAATTAGCCCACAAAATGGCAATAGACAAGAAAATTGCGTTTAAATTTCCAAAGTTTACTGAATGAAGTTCCTTTTTTTTCCATTTGGCAAACGATTTAAATTGATAGTGCACACAGCAGCGACTTACTTTTATCATATCGCTAGCGACATCAATATTGACTGAAATTAAATTTAATCGCCTTTGTCAAATTTGTCAAACGAACTAAGTATCATATGCCTGAGAATGTTAGTCATATGCTTAGCTAGATAGATTGGGTAAGCAGTGTGCTATAGTTGGGTTTTTTCCTCGATAGGAAGAGAATACGAAGTAGATTTAAAAGGAAAAACTCTTAATTGGCTGCCATATGTACGCGTACTCGTACCAGCCCGGAATCGCAAATGATACGGCTGGCAAACAATTAAAAAAAAAGTGCAATCAATGCCTCCTGCCCCACAGAATTATTGAATTGTGCTCAACATCTGCAGCAGCAGAAGTAAACAACTTGTCTTGCATAACCTTCAATTGGAGATTATACAATTGGCGTGATTACATATTGTGTTACCGTTAATCAAAAGAAGTTTGAGTGATTAATTTATATGTCTATTTGCTTAAGCTAATGGCATAAATAAATATCATGGCTATCTAATCGAAAAACAGCACAAAAGCCAAATCAGCTGATTGGTGTCAGGTACTCGGATATCCCAATAAGCTTTTTAAGAAAGTGAAAAACTTTCCGACCTTGAAGTATTATTAATACCAAGCATATAATATATAAATATTCTTAATTCATTAAAAATTATCTAATCTTGAAGGGTCTGCAGGCTGCATCTATTTTCGAAACTCAAGTCAATTGGATACGCGCAAATAATAAGTTATTTACTTAATTAGTTGTGCATAGAGCGAATGAGGAACCCGTAAATAATGTGTAGCTTGTTTGTGTTTGTATTAATTGTATCCCATTTCTCTGTTATATTTACAGACGTATATATTTATTGATCGAGTACAAACAAATTGCACAAGCTGTTACGCAATTAGGGGTCTGATATTTGATACTAAAAACATACAGAAAAATAGTCAATTGCAGTTGCAAAGACAAATGCACTTCACACTAAATAAGTATTTCACATCTAATCAATATATATTTCTAAAATAGCAACACTCAACTCGTTCAGTTTTTAGTAACATATATATTATCATACTTAATGACGACAGTCCACACACACACACAGACAGATGCATATCATATATGAAATCAGCAATCTTTTTGCGATGATCTTATCATTATATATTTCTAAAATAACAACTGACTTACCTCATTGATCCACTCAATTTGTTCTGCTTTTCAATGCATGTTAGTAACATATATGTATATATATATCATCATATTTAATGACGACAACCCACACACATATATGTACATACATATATACACTTCATGCTCCATACCTCGTTTTGGAGGTGATATACGAAATCAGCAAACTTTTTGCGATGATCTGCACGAAGCTTTGACGTCACTTATTCAAGGCTAGCCCAATTTGAAATTAAAATTTTGGCATTCTCAATAAATTCATTGAGGTCTGCTTCTGTTTCTATATCACTCCTGCTTTTGCCATCCACTGGACACTTCCGAAACAATTGACGTATGTGCAGGGCAGGTGAGGCGCCTCTTGTTTGCTAAATGTGGCTTTACGCAAGTATCAACAATAAGATAAACACAGCGGATAGATATAAATATATATACAGCCTAAACGTTTATAAATAATTCTATTTTATTATAGGAAATATATTAAGTCTTCGCAATCAAATGAAACATGTGCAAATAATTACCACTAAATATGTAAAAACTAAAATGATTATAAAATATATAATAGAAACATATGATGGACATCTGGGTACATATTAGGATTAATTATATTTTAAAAGATAAATCGAAATATATTTATAAATTTATTTATTTATTATTATTTTTTTTTTAAGAAAATATCAATTTTATATGTATTTGTTTTCATATGAATATAATTTTACTTTGATTAATTATAGTGGATAGAGTTTTATGTATGCAGACAACTTTCTTTCTTAAGTTAGTTTATAATTTCGTGCACAGAGCATGGCATAGTCGGGTATATATTCATTTGATTTCAGCTACATCTTATTTGCGTTTGCTTCTTTCTAATCATGCAAGGTTAAGGCAAATAAACGCCATGCTTTTTTATATTTCTGTATAGTATAGCATATTGTATGATTAAAGAAAAGACGAATAGCTTTTGGATGAGATAAGCTACTTTGTTTGCCAGCCTCCAAAATTATGTGACCGCTCTAAAGTTGAAATCTGTTTAATTAAAGGCTGTGTAAGCCTCTCAAATATAAATAATGAGTGTCATCAAAAATAGTCGATGTTTTTTTGTAGAGTTTCGATTTGCCATTTTGACTGAGAGTTATGGTATATGGGTGTTTTTTGTCGGGTTCTGGGTTGGTGATATCATTGAGTATACTGAGTAAAACAAACATTGGCCGTCTCGGGCATGAAATGTGTGCAAGATATAGCGATAAGATAAATTCAAACTCAAATATTTGACATTGGTATTAACACAAGTTTTGCCACTCAGCTGCCTGTGCAGTTGGGCTGGCAACTTAACAATTTTGCAGTGCCCAAAAAGTTCTTTCAATACTCGAATGAAAAAGCTGTGCCACCTATGTGTGTGCGTGCCTCAAACAATGTGGCAACTGACAGTGACCGTTAACTTTGACCCAGAAACCCACTAAAACGTAAACAAAGCCACCCACGCAGCACATGAACAGAATTCGGCATTTTCACAACGTTTACATTCTCAGGCAATAAGCTAAACTTCAGTTAAATCTGAGTATAATTAGCTAGACAATATGAGCACGCAATCCAAACCAAAAATTGAGTGCATTTTTGTATTATTATCAGTGAGATTGGCCATTGATAAGATATGAACGGGTGTTGGCTACAACTAAGCAGCGCCCAATGTTTAATTTCGTATCTATGTAAGCTGTGAGCAAAGTTTCAGAGTTTTGCAAAGCGTAAAAATACAAACTTTTTTTTAATAACTTTATTGCCAAAAGCTTCTCTCTCAAACCCGCACAATGAACACGCTCTCGCTATTGATAACAGGCCACAAGCTATTCAAGTGAACAAAATACACAAACACGTTCCCATCTTTGCAAATTGAATGTGTGTGTGTTTGTGTTATTTACACAAACTTGCCATTTCATAACTTTACGCATTTATTCCGTCTGATGTCCACGTGTTCCACTGGGGACTCGGGCGTTGAGCGCACCGGTAATGGGTGGGTATCTTTTTGCGGTTAGCGAGCGAGCGAGCGATCAACTTTTTCGCTCATCGAATCTCACTCCAGCTCCAGCGCGCTTTAGCGCTGCGTGCTCTCTGCCACTCTGCCGGTGCGCTCCCAACAGCAACTGTAGTATTTATATGTGTGTGAAACGGTGGTGAAGTTTCAGTTCGGTTTTGCTCAGTGCCGCTTTGTGCGAAGGTTCCATTTAGCATTGCGTTTATTCGACGCAAAGCTTTCTCATCGAACGGTCGTGTGTGTCTCCGCTTCGCTTCGGCTAGTTAGTTTTACCGCGATTCGCAGCTGCGACAGTCAACGCGGTTGTCCAAGTGTTGATCTCTATATAGATTTTCGTCTCCGATCGTGCCGCTCCGCAAAAAGCCCGAGGAGTACGTATGCAAACAGACAGCCGTGTGTCAAAGCTGAGTGAGAGGCACAACCCCCGTATACCCGCCCAACCCCAATCCGTGATCTTCACTGCCGCTCTGTGTTCTCTAGGTAATTAAAATTGAAGCAATAGTTTTTGAAATGAAAATAAGTGCATAAATTGCATTGTATATGAAAATTATATGTATTGAAATCAAAGGCAGACAGCTACAAACATTGAACAATTTATGGGACTGCAGTTAGTTTGCTTGTTCTTTTTTATTGGCATATCTGTCTCAGTCTCTCTCTCTCTGTGTGTGTGTGTGTGTGTGTGTGTGTGTGTGCGTTTGTGTGTGTTTGGTGCTCGCCTTTGCTCAATGCTTTTCGGTGACATTTTCCTCGGCTGCTGTTTGGGGCATTTCTCGCTTGCCTCTTTCAGACTCGTTTTCGAAATTCTTTTTGTTGTATCTTTTATGTGAAATGTTTTTTTTCGCCGAAACCTAAAATTGATAGCGAACGCCGCCGACAGTCGCAGTCTCAGTCGCAGTCGCGCAGGCAGCCAGATCGAGAGATCTTCGAACTTGAAGAACGCCAAGCGCGTTGAAGGACTTTCTGTGAAATATATATAAATTAAAAACAAACAATAAGAAAAAAAGGAAAGAAAAGAAAAGATAATTGAAATTGAAATTGCGCCGGTGCAATCCGCAGCAGCAAAGACAAAATAAAAGTGCAAACAGCAGACAAATACACATACTATATATGTACACCAAATACATATAATAATATAAATACAATACAAAAATACATAATACATAATATATTATGTATAAATTTTTGCTTGTATAGAGAAAAGCAAGCAACAAGTTGAGTGCATAGATTAACAGGCGCACAGATACAAAAAAGTATCTGTAGATTTCAACAAGAAAGTGTACAAAATTGTCTACAATTTGCCTAACCTTTTTGTGTGCCGTGAGTAAAATAAATAATAAAATCAAAGAAGAAGAGAAATACAGTAAATACAGTAAGCGTGAAATGCGTGTTTTTTTCTAAGATCAAGCCCAAGTGCTAGTAGATCAGCAGTGTCGTCGTCGGCCAGCATCTGCCGTGATAAGGCAAACAAATCGCCCGCTTTTGTGGGCTGTGAGCAACTCGAGAATTATTGACATGCAAACTAATATATTTACAGTTAGCACATAACGCATGTGGCCAAAAAAAAGAAAAAAAAAAAAAATCAAAAAATAATCACGAAATCTTTCTGTGCAAGTGGTATATTTTATTAGCTATTATTTCATTTGAGCTTTTTGCGGTTGGCGGTGATCTGTGGCCAAACTTGACCCTGTTTCTCAACCAGCAACGGTTATACTAGTTATATAATTGCCAAAAAGCCACGAAACAGACGAACAGACGAGCAGACTGAGAGATTCGAGACGAGTAGACCTTAATAAAAAGTGGTTGGTTTAACCCCCCGGCCGAAGCTGGCACTTAAAATTACTTAAGCGACGCAACAACAGCTACAACTGAAATACAATAAAAAATTAAACCTTTTTGCCCAGCGATCTTGCAGCAATTACCAAAACAACAACAACAATAAAAAACATTGTGAAAACTCACCGACGAACGCATTTTATCGTCCATGTGAAATTTTCGAGAGATAGCAGCGGGATTATGAGTACCCTTTGCTTGCACTCACACGTACTCACACACTCAGATTCACTCAGACACTCATGCATGCAATTTGTGCGCCGTTTACTTAAAAAGCCCAAAAACCCAAAAACCACACAACTTTCAGGTGCTCATTGCAAAGATACATTTGTTTATCTTTGCCATCAATTTGTTGTATGTGGCATAAACATTATTTCACTTCTGTGCTTTTGCAGACTTTAGTCCACATATTATATCCCTTTGAAATTTGAAATACATTACAAGCAGATAATACACAAAATGGAAATACGTAGAAAGTACATGCAAATTGCAATCGCTTCTTGAAACAAAACGATTTAATTTTCAAGCGATCTCTGTACTTGGTTTCATTACACACAATCGGAAACTATTTGTAATTCGTTTGTTTACACATTCGACTGTAAATCAAGTTCAAGCTGCGGTGATTAAAAAGAAAATAGAAACAACAAAAAATGCGTATCAGTTCTCGTGAATGTCGAATGAATCATTTTACCGCAATGTAGGCTAGTGAGGCAACAATTGCTGTTAAAAACGATTGAGAACTCCAACTCAAGCGGATATTACGCAATAGTTGTCGTTGTCTGAAACACATCCATAAATGTACATATGTACATACATACATAGATAGATGTGTGCGTGTGAAACACAGTTTCGATACTCGCACTCGTCCCGGACAGGTGCTAATTTGTGGTTCATAATTCACAGAAATATGCGAGTGCTCGTTCAAGTTTCAGCGAACAGCTTTTATGCCCCATAACTCAGCGAACGGACCGCTAAGAAATATATATATATATATATATATATGTATTATATACAACTTAACTTACTCAACAAGCGCCCACAGTCCAATGCAAAAGAAGAAACACACTATAACCATATCAATGACGTTTGGGGGCTCTTATCTTTGCCATTTGTATATAATGCCTATTTCTGCGCCATTTGCTCATTGCCGTATTTCAACAACTTCCGCTGCATTATTAGGTGCTATGGAAAATGCACATTTCACGGGTTGCTGCGTCACTTTAGAAATATTGAAATTGATCAAAAGTTCCGTCTCAAACGGGGTTTTGTTAATTGAGAATATTATATTACTAACCTTACGGCAATTTCTGTTACTTTATAATGTTTTTTTTTTGTTTTTAATTACAAGGTAAGAATTCGTTCATTCAAGCGATGTTGCTGTGGCTTTACATATCGCTAAAGTTTCTTTTGATGTATTTGTATAACGAGCTCGAAATAAAAATACCTTATCAAAATTGATAAGTTGTTACTTGTTTATTCTGTGAATTGATATTTCCGATTGAGACGCTTGTTTACTTCGTGGTAAACAGTAGCGACCATGAGGAAAAGCTTGAAAAGGATTGCTGAACGTAGTCTATAGATTAAAAAAAGAAAAAGAAATTGAATTTAAAATTAATAAGAAATATTAAGCACGTTCCTTAAAATAAAGAGAACATGGTATAAAGACAGGTCATAATTATGCATATATTCTGAAACAATAAAAGTAAAGGGAAATTTATATAGCAAGCTTTTCGGATATATGTATTCCATGTTCAATATATGTAGGTATATATTATTTTGTGTATTTAAGGCGCTGCCAATTGTCGCACAAGCCATTGTCATTGGCGTCCAGAGTCTGGAGTCTCGATTTTCAGCAGTCATTTGGTGTTTGGTTGTGTCTTTGCTACCAGAGCGTTGTGCAAACGAATCCGATGTCTGTGCTGCATTTGACAACCACATAGAAGACAAAAAAAAAAAGAAGAAAAACAGAAACAAAAACAACTTTAGAGAAAACCACAGATATATTGTGTAAACACACGTATTTGTGCATTTGGGCGTTATGTCAACCTTGCCCCCATTAGATACAACTCGCTGTTGTTGCTGGGAGATGAGCAACAAATGCTTGCGCTCAATATGTGTTTCGATAAAGAACCAACACGCACTTATCAGCGCTCAATCAAAACAAAAGCGATGCAACCATTGCCCCAAAACAGCAACGGCAACAGCAACGGCAACAGCAACAGCAATAATAATGACAACAACATCAGGAATGTTGATAAATCCCATGAAAATAATGCGTTAGCTCAAGAGGCTTTCGTTGCCGCATTCAAATATGTGCTCATGTCTAGTGCATTTTGTCATTTCGAAATCCGTGGTCTTAAAGCCAAGTGCACATGACTGTGGCTGTTCTGCGGCAGAGTTGCCATTCATATCTATAATTAGCAAATGTCGAGCGTTTTCCCAATTCCGATAAGATAAGCGCAGTCAACCAGCCGCTGCCTTTGATAGCGGCAAATAAGTTATAAAGGCAAACAGGCCAGAGAGATGCGCTCTAAACATGGAGAAGGAAGCTCAAATCATATTTATATTTGTAGATATTTTTGCCTTAGCAGGAGAGAACTTACCACCAAAATGTCTAATGTCTACAGAGTGCTGATACATAACTATTTATAATATAATCAAAGATACATTTCAATGCCTCTTACTTATGGATACCCAAGTTGATATGTCTTTTAGCGCCTTTCATGGCTACAGGGTATCTTCCTGTATGACCTCGAAGCAAGCGAATAGTCTGGAAATAGGAAATGCTTTACTTTTTTTCCAAATATTTGTGTACGTTTTTGTCTTTTTTTTCGGCTAAACGTGCCTGACTTTGCAGCGTTTTCTATTATTGTAAACAACTGTGAAATTGTTTAGCGGATTATTATTGTTATTCTTTGAATTGAGCTGTTGGGTCCAGTTTACATCTGGAGAACAGGTGGCTCTCAAAATACTGGCAGAAATGTTAAGCACTCGTTAGCGTTGGCTTCGCTGTTTCATATTTGTTTTACTTGATTAGTTGATCAATGAAGAATACATTCGCATACGGGATATTTATAGCCCACGCCAAACAATTTGGTCAATTGGCAAAGGCAAATCAAAGGCACAAAACACGCGCAAGCATGAATGAAGCTCGATTTTCGTTGTGTATTTGTTGTTTTATTATTATTTTTTTTTCGCTTTTAATATTCTTTTAAATGACTCCGAATGTGGACCGTTGTGACCTCGTCTGGGATTACGAATGCGTTGGCTGCATCCACTGTTAGTAAAATGTGGCTGACAGATCGATTGCATGGTTTTGTGGGACTTGTGCTTGTGCCCAGCGTCAGAGTCGCTGCTAGAAGCGTTGTTCATAGCGTATGAGTAATCTGCAACAAGTCCGCTCATTGCTTTTTGCCCCACCCCCACCCCTCCTTCCCCGCTCCCTCTCTTGCGTTACGTGACAATATGTTTGGTGGCACGTTCGACGCATATTAATCAGCGCTCCAACAAGCAGATAAACAAATTCGCTTGACACTCTTTTAAGTGCCCCTCTGTGGAAAGGGCGATGCATTGTGGTAGCTCATTAGGTCGGTGATTTGTATGGGAAATGCATTGTGCGGCTACGCTTTGTATTGTGTGTTCCACACAGTATATGATATGATATATATACGAATTATACAAATTATACGAAGACTGATTTTCAAAAACGGCGAGTAGGTGCTTTGGCATTCCTCATTTGACAACAGTGGCAGAGGCGTCAAACAACTAATACAAAATATTTTGCAACACAAGAGAGTCATGGGACTTTGATAAAGATATCATGCTTCCGTTTTTGGGGTGATAAAATGTTCCACAGATTGCAAATTAAATTATAACAAATGGCGAAATCTTCTCAGTCCCATATTAGAGAAATGAATATACTAAATATATTTTAAATAACGTCATTTTGCATTTTGTTTTATACGCCCAAACATATTTCGAAACCCGTCTAGATTTATCTTCAGTGAGAGATTGCAGCGTCCGTCCAGATATATTATTTAAAATATAAAATTAAATATAAATTATGTATAATACATACCATTCACATTATTTCACTCAATTGTAATGAACTTGGATTTGGGAAACTTTAACACATCACTGCCAAAAGTGATTGTCGGTTATGGAAATTTGCGAATGGCTTTAATTAAGTGAGGCACTTGGGGCAGCTGCAGCATGCACAGCACTCATAGCAGTGTCATTATATGAAGCAGCTATCTCAGCAGTAGCAATGACAAAGTTCGTTAAAAGTGAATTTAGAGACTTGCAATTAAACACTAATTATACACAATTAACATCAAAGCTAACAACTGCAGCAACAGCAACAGCAACAGCAGCAGTGGCAAGTTTAAAAAATAGTAGTTGAATTCAAAAATCACAAATAATAGTATTTAAACGCATACAGGCAATCAAATGAATGCAAAGCGAGTGTTGAGTGCTGTCTACACACATATTCATGTATGCACATATATGACTATAGCCTTAAGCAAAATGCACTTTCGATTTGGCCATTTGAAATTCGCATGTTTTTCACATATTTTTTTTGTTTTTTTTTTGTTTTTGTTTTTTAGCATTTACTTTCAGCTGTGGAACGGACTGCCGACCATTTATGTCTTATAAAAGGTAATCAGTTTGCACATTAGCATGCCACGAATCACAAAAATAACCTTAACGACCAAAAACAACAAACAAAAAAAAAAATAAATAAAAAACAACGCGCGGTTGTGCCTCCAAATTGAGCTGTACCATTGGCAATGTACCAAATTCGCGAAAGCTCCGATCTCCCAATTTAGTGGCGTCTCCAACGACTGAAAACAGCTCAGACAGCGACAACAACAACAACTGCAACATCATTAGCTGAATCATTATCATCATCATGATGTTTAAAAACCAGTTTGGTAAAACCAGACAGCAAAGTTGCTGTTGCTATTGCTATTGCTGTGGCTGTGGCTGTGGCTGTGGCTATTGCCACTGCCATTGCCTTTGTTATTCCGCCCGCATTTAACCCGTCGCCACTCTGGCCAAGTTGCATTCGCCGGCCGGCTGACTGGCCGGCAAAGTTGGTCTAAAAGCCAAGCAACAAGTGGTCATAACTGTCAAATGCCTCGCTGCCGGCCTCTGCCACAGCATTCGACAGCCACTGCCAATAGCCAACGGCAAGTGAGCCACTTTAATGGGCAGCAGTCGTGCGTGCTCTTAACGTGTCAACTGCCAAGTGGCAACCGAAAGGAGGCACAACACAGCAGCCACTGCAGCCGGCATCTGACCATGCGATCTTCAGCGCTATTGTGCACATCGACAGATACAGATACGACTACGATATATTTATGCATAGTTTATTAAACTGCTACCAAAACCTAACCGCAGGCTAATTTGTCTACAGGAGTGCCTTCGCTTTCTGTGTGTGGATGTGTGTGTTTGAGTTTGATTGCTGGTTGGCCTGTTCTTCTGGCTGGCCTTGTACTTCAGTGCCAAACCATTGACCAACCGGGCGATTTTTATTTCGTCTGCACGTGTTTTTATCTACACTGTGCTTCAGAATATGGCAACAAGTTGGTTTTCTGTTTTTTTTTTTTTCGTTAAAACACTTAAAACTTTAAGTTAAAACTCTCTCGAAAAGCATTACGAGTATATTTTTTAAAGTTATAATTTATGTTTCAACATGACAAAAACTAGGAAAACACACATTTTTCTTCAAAACATTTATAGATCACTCGCTCTGTGAAATTTTATTTTCTGATCGTAGTATTCTATACTAACCATCTCAATAATCATTTAATTTATTAGGGATAAAAATCATCCATTACGCAAATGCTCAAGTTCTACGTAGATAATTTGCTGTTCAGTGTAAACATTTGGTTTGCACACACATAAAGTTATATATATATATATATATATTTATCCATCTGTGCAGTTAAGGACAGGCAAGCAGACAGACAACACTAGTACGCATTGGCAGGTGCAATTGGGGAACAATTTCACGCTGCAGTTGCATTATTTATGGCATGTTGTTAAACTTTATTGATAGTTACAAGTTGATGTTGCTGGCTTTGAGTTCAAAGCGATTGAATATCTAAATCGAAATTAAAACGATAACCAAAATTTTGACTTTGAATGCTGTGCAATTAATCATAGTAGTTCCAAGAATAACATCAATTGTTTTTGCCATGCAATGATGCTCAAATAGTTCGCACTGACCTCGAACGTTGAGTTAATTAGATACTGTGACCCGGTTTGATCGGAAGTAGTTGAAGTGTTAATGACTACTATTAATTGTGAACCGTGACAAGGTCTTCTGCTTAGCAACTGCTATAAATAGCAGCTATAGATTATGCAATAGATCGAACACACTCTCGAAACGAGAAGAAAAACCCACGCATTTTTAGGCTTCTTTCAGTTTGAACCAAATTCAATTAAGATGTTCTTTCATTATATCACCCAAATCATACGATTCCCTACTTGGAAATTCCCGGAAATCCAGCAGGGAATTTGATCATCCAACAACATTGATCGTTCGTTGTTCGCCAATTAGCGCAACCGTGGTTAGTAATTTAGCTTAGCTACTTCTACACATATGTAGCTACATCTGTGTATCTATATCTATATCTGTATCTGTATCTGTATCTGTATCTGTATCTGTATCTGTATCTGTATCTGTATCTGTATCTGTATCTGTATCTGTATCTGTATCTGTATCTGTATCTGTATCTGTATCTGTATCTGTATCTGTATCTGTATCTGTATCTGTATCTGTATCTGTATCTGTATCTGTATCTGTATCTGTATCTGTATCTGTATCTGTATCTGTATATCTGGATCTTTAACTGTATCTGTGTCTGTATCTGTACTGCTGATATACCATCATCTCTATACTGCATCTGCTAGATTAGTCTGTCTGGAAAACTTGTTGAAAATGTTAGCAATTGTAAAGCACTGATTAACTGGCGACTTTTGGCCCGTAAGTCAGATTAAATTAACATGCTTCTAATTATACACGAACGGCAAACAGTTCAATGAAATGTCAATTTGCTCAGTGCCGCGCTTCCTTCGAGCGTCATTCGCCAACTGATTGGCATTGCTGGATGCAGTCTAAACACTGCAACCAGACACTTTTACACTAGTTTAACTGATTACATGGCTATTTCTAATTGTTATCTTCATGTCAATGCAATTATTCTAATACGTTTGTACAATATCGTTCGAGCTGTATCATATAATTATCAGCTTAACAAGTATATTTAGATACGATCCGGATTTAATGTATTAATATAGAGTCCATAACGTAAAGATTGTAGAATAAATTCATAGATCAGTTCAATCTAGCACAGTAAATTATAGCTAAGTTTGTTATAGTTAGCAACCGTTGAATTTCCTATTTAACGAAACTTATGAGAGGCTGTAAAAGAACAACGATCTTGAGTTGTGTTCTTTTCAGAACATACTAAACTAAAGTTATATGATATATGAATATATCCATATATATATATATAGATGATCATCAGCTGTTGTTATGTGAGGTGCTAGCACCACTTTAGCATTTTTAATCCCCTATTTTAAATTGTCGGCCACACACAATAGGGAACTTAACAAGGAGGTTACGAAACGATGGCCAGACAAAGTGCAGCAGACTGAATGGTTGGCGCCCATTGAAAAGTGCAATCCCATTTGGCACTAATCAACGTTCACTTGTCTACGAGTAAATCATCATCATCATCATCATGATCATCGTCAGCATCATCTGTGCATGCAAATGTATCTATGCCAAATGACAATGAGATACGTTGGCGTTGTTGTCAACGCGCCAAAATTTTGCGTAGGTGTTCGTTTCGACTGGTGATCTGTGCCAGCAACAAACACACAATCACACACACAGCAGGCCATAACCGGACTCTCTGTCAAAACTGAATTAATAAAAAATAATCAAAGTTTTCAAATTGAATTGTTGTTGCTGGTCAGCGGTGCCTTTCTCTTAACTGCTGCACTGCATCCAGCAAAATCGCATGTCGCTGCTATGGTCAGTTTCGAGATGCTGTTTCACATGCATGGGATGCAGTCTTTGTAAAATGCATTGTGTTTAAGAAACTAAACGTGCACTTCATTACAAAATGTTTATGAAGATTTTTTTGTATTTTTATATTATACAATATGTACAAACATCGAATAGACGAAATAAGATTGTTCATTTTCTGTTTGAGAATGTTTGAAATATTTGCAGTACTTGAGATATTGTGGTTCGATTTCATGCCCAAGGCAAAATCACATTTAACAGTAGCTGCCAAATGTATGCAGACAGACGAACTTAATTGATTAAGTTTTTAAATTCAACATTCGTGATTTAAATTTTTTTTTATCTAAAGGAAAAAAACTAGCCATAAAATTGGAAAAGCAAATCAATTTAAATATCTTTCAAATCAAATATTACAGATTTTAAGATGGGCTTAATTTATCAATATAATAAAGCAGTAAAATGTTATAATAGAGGATTCACTTTATGTATATACATAAATCGGTCAAATCATCAAGTATTTAATTAATAGTCACTTTAAAGATACATTTATAAGTTAGTATCATAAAAGTATTTATAGGATTGAAAGGTTTGCTTTGTTCATCTGGGTATCTGAATAGTGAAAATTGCAGTTGACCGTTTCCTTTCTAATTGCCACAACGGCTTTCTCTACAAAACCACTGTTAATTACTGAATAAGCAATGATTCGGGGTTTTTCTTACATATTGATTTATGAATCATTTACAATAGTATTTCCCCATTTCCGACCATATATTGCAAATTCAAAAACACTAAGATTTTTACGAATACCACCAGCTCGCATGAATCAGTTTTATGGGGAATATACACTTTTCAATATACTTTTTTTTTGCCTACGGCTGGCCGCTCGCCAAATGATCAAACGACACTGAAAATACCATGGGTGCTGGGGGAAAATGTTGTTGAGTTCCCCTGTATATTTGGTAGCCATCTGTTGATGTCTTGACGAGTTCAAGTTCAATGGAAATTGTGTGCTGCATGCGCTAACAATAGCCAATGTTTTTGTGGTCAATTTCAGGCAACATGGCGCATGCGCAATTTGAGAGCTGCAGTTGATTTTTAGTAGTTTCATTTTTCATTTTTTGTTTTTTTTTGAGGGGGGGGGGGGGGGTGGCTATTGTTTATTGCATTTTTGGTGCATTGACTTCGAGTGTGGGGCCCACGTTTTTGCTTTGGTTTTGATTTTACTTTTTTGCTTTACACTTCACCTTTTTAGCGGGGTGATATTAACTGGACGGCGGGGAGGCGAGAGAGTCCAGCGATCGTTGGCAACAACACGTTTTGCATAACTCACATAATTTTCGCTTATGCTTTGCGCTTTTTACCAGTTGAGCCCATTGCTCGAGAGCAAGACTCACATTAAAGTTACGTATCTTAAAGATTGGTTTCGTTTTATTTCGGTCTTCTTCAGTATTTTCTTTTTGTTATTTTTTTGCGTTGCTTACTTTTCGTGGAAATCAATAAAATACCTGCTGCGGTTCTTTTTTTCTGTTTTTGTTTTTGATTTTGGGGATTTTTTTTTTGTTATTAATAAAATGTTTTAAGCATACGCTTAAGATGGGCTCATTTGCACTTGATT